GCAGCCGGATTTTGTACTCCATGCTTCATATATGATAGGTACGGTCATGAGGGGGGATTCAATAATCCAATCAACAAACTGTGCAGCAAAGGAGTTCGTCAGAAGTGGGACGAGCACAGACGGGTAGCGTTCATGATAATGTTCCTAGGCCTTCTGGTATTTCCAAGGAAAGATGGAAACATTGATTTGAAGATATATGTNTTCTTACAGAAGAGCGAAAAGGGAAAGAAAGCTCGCGCATCTGAGAAGGGAGGATCATTGCACATTGGAGGTGCGGTCAACCAGGGGACAATAAAAAGAAGAATGGTACGTAATTGCTTAATTTATTTTAATTTTCAAAGTGTATCTATTCTATTTATTAATTAAAATTTATGAGTTTTCAGGAAAAGAAGTTGGGCCGTCCGATGAACCAAGATGAGCTATTCAGGGAGACTCATATTGTGAAGAAGAAGAAAGAGACGGATCAAGAAAGGTGGGTCGAGGGACGTGCCTCGACTGTACATGTAAGTTTTCACTTTTCATTAAGTATTTTCATTTACTTTTATATAAATTTTGAATTACTAATTCAATTTACTTTTTCTTATAAGATCGCTTCAGAGTTGAAGCTGAGGAATTCATACGCAGCCAGCCACCTAATGAGTCGGGCGCGCCATTCCAACTTTCGGACGAGGATGTTGAAAGACTATGGACGCGGGCTGCAGGTGGTCCAAAATGGGGGAAGCTATACGACCTTCCTACTAAGACATTCCATCGATAGGTGTGGAATGCAAGTAATAGAGACTTCCTCGCAAGCCGAGCAACTTGATGGGGAGAGCCTCTCCGCTATGCGGGAGACTGTGACAAAGCTCACATCCGAGCTAGAAGCGTCCAAGGAAAGAGAAAAGCTTAGAGATGCTCAGTATATTGGCGTGGTCGCTCAGTGCCAGAGCATGCAAGAGCAGATCAAAAATCTCCTAGCTGGATTTTTTTCGATTCCCCGGTCTCGGCCATCATCGCCAGAGGCTGCCGGTCCCCGTGCTCGTTTGTCCCGTCCTCCAAGTGGCCGTTCCTCCCGTCCTCCCCGTGATCATTCTTCCCATCATCGACAAGTAGACCCTTCTCAATACCGTAATGATGATGAAACTTCATCAGACGGTGATGATAATGATGTACCAAACAATGAATGAATTTTAGACAATTTGAACTAGACAAATACAATTTGTTTTCCATTGGGTTGTAATAAGAGTTAACTTAGTTTGGTAGTTCTATTGAAATTTACACTTTCTTGGTTTTAATGTAGCTTTTAATGTTGTTTTTATGTTGTTGTTGTTGTTGTTGTTGTTGTTGTTGTTGGGTTGTTGTTTGGTATTGTTATTGGAATTGTTGTTTGAATTGTTGTTGTTGTTGCTTGTTAGGGTTTTGGTATGACTGGCAGGTGGTGTAGCTGCCAAAACAGGCAGTTTTTGCCAAAATAATACATAGAAAAGCGACCAAAGTTGGTCTCTATTTGGTCGCTTTTCATGTTAAAAAAAATATTTTTCTGGAGAATAGCGACCAACGTTGGTCGCTATATACCCAGATTTCTACAAAAGGCGACCAAACTTGGTCGCTATTTCATTAAAAAAATAAAATTTCTGGTGATATAGCGACCAAAGTTGGCCGCTAATATTTAAAAAATAAATTAAATTCATGTATTTAGGGACCAAAGTTGGTCGCTAGTTTAATAAAATAAATAAATAATTGAATAAAAAAGCGACCAACATTGGTCTCTAGTTTCCAGATTTTAAAATATAATATTTGGATTAGAGACCAAAGTTGGTCGCTTTTTATTGATTAATAATAAATAAATAAATAAATAACGTATTTTATATTTAGAGACCAACTTTGGTCGCCAAATTTATATTATTAAATTAATAAAGCGACCAAAGTTGGTCTCTATAGTCAATATCCGGAAAAATTGGTCCATTTAGCTTAGAGACTAAAGTTGGTCGCTATAGCGACCAACTTTGGTCCCTAAATAAAAGAGACCATCAATATAGCTACCAGGCCCTTTTGGTCGCTTTTTGGTTGCTTTTTAGCCCAATAACGACCAATTCTGGTCGGTTTTTGCGATCGCTTTTTCCCGAATTTCTAGCAGTAATTAGACGAGTAAGAACGGGCATGAGTGACTAGGAGATGATAAGAGGTCCACTGTTATAGTGTTCTCATTTTAACTTTACTTAATGTGCATTGCTTACTCTTTCACACTTCTTTAGCTTTGAGTGGGGTAGCTTAAGATGGAAGATGGTCTGATGAACTTAGTATCTAAGGTCCATTTGATTATAATACTCAAGTTTGTGCAAAATATAAATACATTTGGCTTTATTCTCTTTATTTAAATGATATTAAATATAATGGCATTAACTTAAATCTCTTTTCTAGTAGTACAAGAATTCGCAGTGTGCCCTGACAGTCCGCCCAAGGTCTAAATAATTTAATTATGAACTAATCGTGTCTACTTTTAAGATATTTCGGTCAAATAGAGTTGCCTTTCTTGCTCTCTTTTGCTTTAGTTTTCTTCACTTTTATCTAACATCAGTCATCTCCACCAGCATTAATCTATTTGCATTAGTCATGGAACATCAAATCTTACGCACAAATTCTTCTTCACATATCACTCAATTGCGTATATATTATTAATAATAAAAGATAAATCAATCATTTAACTATCTCTTAGTTCCAGTCCAAACTAGTTGGGGTTGGTTATAAAATCTGTTGGATCAGTTTTGTTTTACATCTCAATACTAATAATTTGTCTTTTTACAGAAATTAGGTGCTATAAGTGAGAAGTTCTCCTTATCTTGTACTTATCCATACACTTCATTAAGTGTCTATTTTGACTCTAATGGTAGAATGTCTTAGATTGTATTCCTTTTCTAAACTAAATTGTAAAACTAAAACACATTGTAAAATAGTGGGACATTATTGGTTCCAGATCATAGCATTAAAAATGTAGGGAAAAAAGCTTGTAGCTCCTTGTCAATTTATAATAAGAAAAGTTTCCTCGAGTATTATTCACTCATAGGCTTTTCACTTTTGGTATATATTTTACATCGTACATGTAATTTAGTCTCTACTCCTACACAAAAGTCAGGGCTATACCACCCCTCAAACAGCTATAAATCGGATCCTTACTCTGAATCATCTGAGTATTTTGGTACCTCGAACTCCATTACTGAAATCCCCATCACGAGAACTTAATCATGCACACAACTAACAATTAGGCTTATTGCAGCGGTTTTCCTATCTATTGCAACGATTTTGGAACCATTGTCAAGACAGTGGCGGAGCTACGACACCCCTTTAATTTTTTTTAAAATTATACTATATTGCTAGGTAAATCGTCATTGACCCGATTTCTAGTCGTGCCAACAGAGAAGTAGGACTGTACATCTCCAGATAATGTAAAGTCTTGCCCTCTGCTCTCTAACTTGCTTCGAGCATCGTTGCATTGATTTGATCTTTGAACTTCTTAATGATGACAACGAACTTGCAAGAGCAGCCATATATGGAAGTAACAATTACTATGTATAGCTCTGAGTTGAACAAGGTAGAATTTAACTGGAGATGAGTTAAGAGGAAAATTGTTTGAGAAGTGTTTAGGACTTGAAAATATATATATAGAAGGGAAAGAGAAGATATGTGAAAGGAAATATGTGGTGAATGAAAGAGTTAAGAGATGGAGTTGGTCCTACGAGGAATGCATGGGACATAGGTTTAACAAGGGCTTTGTCTCTTATCCATCCCCACAATGAAAGAGACTTGTTATCAAAATTTAAGCCATGGGATAGATTGGAATAATGTTGGGGTGGGGGGCATATCTGTCTTGTCCCTCTATTGTAATGGGTACCCTACCTTAACCTCTCTATCATACAGGTTTGCTGTATCCAGAATAATAATAAGATAACGTTTTTCGTACTCATGTGAAATCATTCGAACGTCCCATCTATCCGTATATGATTATTTATTGTTACGTTATAAAAAAATAAGATATTTATACACGTATTTGATGATGTGAAATATATTGTGTATGAGTCAAAATCTGACCAGACAAGAATCGGCGTGGAATGGGAAGGCAAAAAGTTATTTGAGGCAGCCGTATCCATACAACGCTATAACGACACGCACCTTGGCCATGGGTGAGGTCATGTATTCAGAACGTTTGGGAGGCGAATTGAATGTTACGACATTTCAAGGGGTCAACCCGTAATACAATCAAACGACTTAAGTACTATGGTTTATGACCGTTGTATAAACTAAGTGAGGAGAAGAAAGGGGGGGAGCGGGGGGCGGAAAACATATCCATACACAGACATGCTCTTTGAGAGGAGGAGGGATCTTCATCCACTACTAGAAATCCGGAAAAAAGCGACCAAAATTGGTCTGTGGGAAAAAACGACCAAAGTTGGTCGCTAAACTAGCGAAAATAATAAAATAAATAAAAGAAACAAAATAGCGACAAATGTTGGTCGCTACTTGGTTGCTATATTAGTCAAAATGTTGACTGGACTGGTCAGACTTTCTTGGTCAAACATTTAGTGAGATTAGTGACCAATGTTGGTCGCTAAAGTGGGACCCACATATAAAATTTTAATAATTATATTATTATTTTAAAAAAATTATAAAATATAAATATAAATAATATAAAAATGGCGACCAACGTTGGTCGCTACTTAAAGTGTAGGCAGATACCGACCAACTTTGGTCACTTAAATGGGACCCAGCTATACAATTTTAATAATTATATTATTAATTTAAATATTTAATTAAATCTGATTTAAATATAGCGACCAACTTTGGTCGCTAAACTAAATTCTTGAATAAAT